GTGCGAGTGTGCCGCTCTGCAGTGTGCCGGGTGTGTGTCTACTGCTCTGCTGTGTGCCGCTCTGCAGTGTGCCGGGTGTGCGTGTGCTTGGCGCGCGTGTGCTGCATTTCAGTGTGCTGGGTGCGAGTGTGCCGCTCTGCAGTGTGCCGGGTGTGTGTCTACTGCTCTGCTGTGTGCCGCTCTGCCATGTGCCAGGTCCAAGTGCACTCAGGGTATGATTGTGAACAGGCATGAATGCGCTGTTGGGAAGTTCGGGAAATTTCCCAGTGGGCCCCCCTCCACCAAAACATCAAATTGGGGCCTGCAGTCAGCAAATTCCCGGGCTGCTTCTTGCTGCCAGTACGTCCCTGATGGTCAATGTATGTGGCCTGTAAAGAACTGCCATGTGGAAAAGGGTCTCCCTCTGCTTCACAACCCAGATGCTGCTGGATAAGCAGTGATGAAGGATGGATGGATGGATGGATGGATGTTGTCTCTGTTTACTTTCTCCATCCATCCATCCATTGTAGAGTGTGCTGTTTTAAGACTTAAACTGGAGTTTATTCTCCTTTATATTTTATGGCTAAGTCAGCAAATTATGACACCGTGCTAAATTTTAGGACCCATTTTTGTTTTGAATGTTTCCTGGTTTTTTTTGCCAATGTATCACTGGTTCAGGGGAAGCAGCTACTCCTGATTAAAACTGAACCAGTGTGTGATGAGTTTATGCTGCCTGCTGTCACTGATTGTGTTTGTACAGGCTTTCCGGCCAATCAGAATCAGCCTCTTCATTTCATCTCTTTATTAAGGAACCAACAGATTGGTTTGTACCGTGGTCACCGTTCTCTGCCTTTGTGTTCAGTTCTGGCACGAAGGGACTTTATAAGAATAATCACTACTCTTTCAGTGGGGTTCTTCATGTCTGTCGCACTGTGTGCATCCAGACGCTGATGTATGATTTGCTAACAAAGGTGTTCAGAATGCCGTGTGTGTAGGACCAGTATGTCCATCTTCTGAACACTTTACACACTGAACATATTGATATCGCTGCTTCATCATCTATAACAGGGTCAGAGGTTCCTGCAGCGCATTTCAAAACTTTTTTTGTTCATTATTAATTAAGACACGTTTATTTAGTGAGTTATGGTTCTGCGTTTGGGTCTGATCTGAGGCTTGGCTTCACAGCCCCCCCCCCCTCACCTCTGCCTCTCAGCCAGTGAGCGCACAACCTATGGGGTGAGTAAAGGGTGAGCAAAGTTACCCTGAAAAAGGGGAAATGTATCAGTCCATTATTAAACTGTGAGAAGCAAAGCATATAAGTGAAATCTGAGACAGATCATGAATACGTGTGTGACTGCAGGAGTACCGGGGGCGGCGGGAGTTTCTGAATCTCTTTATTTCTGCGACCTTTGAATGCGGTTTTCTGGGGAATCATGCAGTTACCGATGCTGCCGTTATATTAATCTGATAGTCACACAAAGCCCTTGTACAAAGATTTGGTTATTTTTCTAAATTACGCCATTGCGTGATGAGACAAGCAGGAGGATTATTGCCTCTAAATGTAGTCTGAAGAAAAAAATGTTCTAATAACAAAAATGCTGAGATTAGTTTCTGGTTTCTTTTTTATGTCTAGGGAGTGTTTTTTGTTTCATTACATTTCTTCTCATTACATGAGGAGTACCTTCATGTATATGTCCTCCAAGTACGAGTCCTCCAAGTACGAGTCCTCCAAGTACGAGTCCTCCAA